CCTCGGTGCGAGGCTGCTAGCGAGCTACTGTATATCCACCCTGAAGGTTAATCTTGGACAATATCTGATATTTTACAGTTAAAATATACGTTTATCAAATAAAGTCTAATGTTACAACTAATCAGGGATCCCTTTAAGCCTGAAGTGTTRCTCTGCCTCAGCAGAACATCTGTGCTCTTCAGTTTAGAGCTGCACTGTGAGCTAGGAGGGAGTAAAAATAAAATGTTTATGTTCAGGTGCAACAATTCTTGAAAGTAAGGCAGTGGTAAAGATAACTTGTTTGGGAACGTAGAAAAGAAACCACCATACAAGGATGCTGTGACTCATTGTTTGATGCTGGTTTTGTGTCTGATCCAGCTGCCTGTCCAGTGCTCTGCAGTGGTAACGGTCAGTACTCGCGAGGCCGCTGCCAGTGCTACAGTGGGTGGAAAGGCACGGAGTGTGACGTGCCGTCCAACCAGTGCATCGACATCAACTGTGGAGGACACGGCATCTGCATGAAGGGCTCCTGTATCTGCAACACTGGGTATAAAGGAGACAACTGTGAGGAAGGTACAAACCTTTGCTCTCTAATGAACACCACAAACATACACTCGCTGACAAAACAACAAAAGAAAACTATTGAAGCCAGAASAGATGCTTTCATTTCAACATGACGTGTTTATTCATGTTTAATGTGAAAATTAACTTCAAAAATCATCTTTGAAGTTGGGGTTTGTATTACACACAGGAATAAATATTGACAATTGCTCTACTAATGCTCATTTATAATGTGTTTTTGTTTTCCTCAAATAATGGGGGTCACATCATACTCTAGATCACGTTATAAATCCATCAGTCAAACATATTTTTGTAGAAAAATTACTAGAATTATTCATCCACAGGTCATTTGGTGATTTGTTTATGTGTAAATTTGTAAACTATACCCTAAAGTCTGTTGTTCGTCAAGTTTCATTCATGTGAAATCAGAAGTTTCAACAATCTTCACAAATCAAACACTAACTAGCAGAAACTGAGCTAGCCTCATGTCTCATGTCTCATGTCATCATTTCTTCCGCCAAGGGCGAGGTCATGTTTTCGGTTGTGTATGACCGCATATGTTTCACATAAATATCTTTGAATACATTGAAAGTTTGATTTCCATCATTTACAATTATGTCTAATTACATGCAACATGATGTTACTATATTTACTATAAAGCACTGAATTTTCCAAGGGGAACCTTTTAGCATAATTGACCCTATTGCCTTGGCGGAGGTTTGCGCTCTTCAAGTGCTTCTAGTAATTTATGGTTATCATTTGTGTATATTTTTTTCTCATGGTTGTGGGGGAATTTCCTCCCTCTCTTTCCTCCATCGTTTCTTCAGTTCATTGAAGTTACCGTTCAGCTCACTGATGGTCACGCCACAATATTTCAGTCAAGTTGAGGTTCTGAACTTTGGACCTTTTCTACGCTTTGATGCTTTTCATTTTGAGCTCTTCTGTTGGAGATGAGCTGCTGTTCTGTTGCATCATGACCCACTGTGGTCCAAACTTCAGCTGTTGGACAGGTGGTCTCTCATTTGACTAGACTCTTTGGTTTACACATACACACACACACACACACACACACACACACACACACACACACACACACACACACACACACACACA